GTCTTTATTACAGTCGGTATGCGCCTGCATCAGTTACGTACGATTAATCTTTTGAGCCTTTTACGACCACGTAACCACAATTTAAACACAACCTTATCAAGTTTATTTAATTTACGTTGGATAAACCTGATGCAATGCAAACAAAACTAACGTTTTCCTTAGAAAAGTCTTTGTAAAGTATGGTTTCAAGCTTGTGTGGGTTTATAGAACTTCCTAGGAGAGAGTTATATTAAGCTTTCAAATGTCGTCCAAGGATTTTGTATCTGTAACTAAATAAAGGAATATACTTTCTGCTTATTCTCCTTAACGTTAACGTCGCCAGGAAATAAAATTTATTGGGTTTTCGTCAAGGATGCGCTACTCGGAGGTAAGGTGGTATTATCGCTTTGTCTGATTAAAGTTCCCGCCCTCAAGATAGAGAGCTGTTTATGTTTTCTCAACTTTCAGGCCAATTATCGTTCCTGACGGTGCATTAGTTCAGTATATTTTCTATGTCATTCGAAGGGCAAATTTTCACTATTGTGGTATAATTCAATGTCAGCAAAGTACAAGTATAGACTAGGCTACTACTAGACCCGTGTTTACAGTATGCTCATTTTTACCATAGTAGGTTCTTGCGTAAGCGAATGGCCATTAAACGGGGAAGAACATACCCTTAAGTACTACTTATGTATGTGTCCTTTCCTGAACACTGTAATTTGATGACGAAAAGTAAAAGATTGTTCGATATTGAAACAGTAAAAAGCTAATATTCAGCTGTATAGGGTATTAGTGGATATGATGAGATAGCAGGTAAAATACATCAATGCCCTTTCATGTCCGAAAATATAAAATTTCATTTTGCGGAAAAACATACCCAACTAGCAAAGTAGAGGTATAAGCTTTTGGTAAAAGAACCGTTCAGCCATAAAAGCTCTCTATTGTTGTTGCCTGAACACAAAAATGCTGGCTTAATGTTGTGTGGAATGCAGATTTGCTTTCTGCAACAGATTTGCTCTAAAATGAAGTGTTTAAAATATAGTTATATAGTTATACAACACCCTATAGGGCAAATTTTTAACTGTTTAACGTTTATACAACTATTTTATACGGCATAATTGCACGTTAGTCAAAATGGTTGTGTTAAAGGCTGTACATATGCTAAATATGTTGGTAAACCACTTCACCATAACCTAACTTTCTGCTGTCATATTTTTGTAAAATGCTAAAATGCCATAATCAATGTTTTAAGACAAACAACGCATGCATATTGGTTCAAAAGGTTTTATCAACTGTTCAAACAGAAGATGTAGATCTGGTACAAATTCTCGCTAAATCATTCGACTCTGTCGGTATTTCATTTAAGACATTTGTCAAATTGTTGTATAACACCTGCAGGCAAGACAAAAATATTCTAATAACCTAAAGACAACATGGACGATGCCATGATTGTACACAACCACCCGCCATATTGGGCAAACATTTATTCCTCTATTTAATATTAAATAATTATGTTTCAGTTCGAAATTACAGATACAAAGTGATAAACATTAGTGTAATTGTGTCTAAATCTAGGATCTATGGAAGATTTAACGCAGATAAGTTCAATTTTCCATCTTAAAAATCTAGACATACTTTCATCATTGTCAAAATATGAATCAAATACGAAGCCCGTAGAAATTGGGTAACTAATTTGCACGATAATCACAATAAAATTTGCTGCGCAAGTAATTGAATAGCCCTATATCACAGTGCAAGAGTTATCATATACCTGTGTATGAAATTCACAATGGCCGATATGTAAGTAAACAAGGTGACTGTAATGCGTTAGTTATATATTCTTTACTTCATCTATACAATACATAAGAAATAGTTTGGTTGCAATAAAGTAGAATCACGTAACAGAATAGTTGTATAGTTGACAAAAACTGAATCTTGCACTGACGCAAATGTTCTATAGCGGCTGCAAGAGGCTTACACTTTTGTTTTATAACTGTTACCTGCAGCCCTTATTTAACCTCTTAAATGACTGAACTGTCCTATTAGGTGTGCCGCTTGTATAGCTGTTCTAAGACGGTTTTGCCAATGTTCTTACAGTATACAATGCTGTTTAAGGAATACTGTATAATCATTCTTGCAACTCTAATAGGAGTGATAATTGTTAGTTGGGTAGGGTTTGTATTTAACAACGCAAACTCTCACATCTTTTATCCACCATTGAAAAATAACCAAAAACTAGTCAAACGATTGAAAACCCAGGGCTAGGTTAAGTTCTTCCAACAACCAGAAAAACCAATTATTACTATTACGAACACTTAAAAATAAGCAAAGTATACCAAGAGCATCTCTTTTCAACTTTTGGATAGACATATTTTTAGAATTGGAGTGAAAGCGATTTGATATTTCAAAATGCGAGGGATGGATTCCTTTTACTTCCCACGCTTACTAGCAAGGAAGCATGGTATCGAATATAGACATTATGGATGTTATATACAGTTCGAGTCACATAACTATTAATGCACGTCATATGCTTCAAATCACCAGTGATGCCATACATCTTCAAAATTGGTATGTTGTAGGAATTCTCAGCATTCGTCATCTTTCTCATTCTCTCTGCATAGCATGTAAGTTGAGAGTGACGGAAAAATTACGTATTGAGGTAAGTCGGAGATAAGTCGATATTGAAATACTGCGGAACACATTACAGAAGATAGGTTTTGACAATATGAACTATCATGTCAAATGGGAAACATCTTGTGGTATCCCAATCGGGTGTTGCCAGGAGCAGTACAATTTTACCACATGCGCTATATTTGAAGTGATAGTACTTTTTTAAAATAACCATATTGTGGTATAAAACAAAAGAAACTGTTTACGTTGATTACGATGCATTTTTTTGCCCATGTTTCAGTAAAAAATGCAAGCGAATTTGAGATCAATTGTTGATACAATGATTGTGTAACTGGGGATTATATTGGAATCGCAAAGCACATAACGCTTATGGGAGTAAATCCATACGCAGCGTTTGTAAAAAAGACTGAGAATAAAATCCTTTTTCAGCGATTTATTGCATTTGAGTCGGCTATGATCTCGATATTGGTAACGTAAGGTAATCGATGACAACTGATGATAAGAAAATAGTGGTTACAAAAGCAAATAATCAAAAACGAAAGAAGATAGTTTCATACAATTGTGATACAGTCCATTCTGTCAATATTAAACCTGCTTTTTTGGTTCGTTTATACAACATAAAATATCTTTCATTTTTTGGAGTACATTAAAATTTTTATTTCTGCAACACTGTAGTCACTCTATTTTATGTTCTATAGTTTAGATATCAAAATTGACATGCCCTAACCAGAGTATCAAACTAACCTTTAAAGCATTATGATTAGAAATGGACTGTTTAGTTTATTTGAAATTTTCGCTGGTGGTATCACTACACTTAACTGTGATTCCAGATGAATCCTGCATAACATTTTTTGAAACGCGTCTCAACAAAACTTGGATTCATCCAGAATCTCAGTTAAGTCTACATATTGGTCATTTGTATGGAAAGATCCTTGTTTAGTGAGGAAGTATTTTATTTTAAATCACAAATCTAACAGGCAGAGGTATACTGGGAATTTTTATTTATATACAAAAACATCTTACAAATGCATTGTAGGTATTTTATTGCTATAGTTAACATTATAAAGAGTAATTTACTAATGTGGAAAGCTCAAGACATATGATACAGACCTTGGTCCGAGTAAAGATAACTCTGACCCAGAGCTTATCAGTATTTAGCAGCATTTAACAGTATTAGAATCATAGCAAATAGTTATTTATACCATCGACAAGAAAATTAGTCACTAAAATCACTGGAGATTTCTGATTCACTTGAGGAATCTTCAACATCAATTATCACAGGCGAGATTTCCTTTCTATCAAATAGTCTCTTTCTCTTGTACCAAGCCATAATTTCCTTTCTGTGTGTTGAATAGAGTTTTTCCACATATCTGGAGTGACAGTCTGAAGGGCTTCACACCACATGCTTAAGGCACTAGTTTCTGAATATCCATCTCTCCCAATTTGTGTTTGTTATAATATGATTTTGCAATCCCCCAAATAAGTTCAATTGGGTTGAAAACACAATGATATGGAGGAAGTCTTAAAAAACTGTATGGCCGTATCTTTCTGCTAAGTCATCGATAATATATTTCTTGGGAGGTTTATGTCTGGAAATAGAAACGAATTATCAAACAAATAATCAATCTGTAAATGCCTTACTCACTGGGAAACAAGAGTTAATAACTCCGTTTTGAACATTATCTGGCTGAAAGGATTATTTTTGTGTATCAGCCATTCCTCAATTGCAAGTTTATTCCATGAGCTATTTGGACATCTCTCCAATAGCATGCTGTGATAGAGAGCATTATCCATAATAATGAAAGAAGGCTCGGATAAGCTTTTTAGGAATTGGTCTTCAAACCACTTCGAAAAATTTTCCTTGTTCATTTCACCAAGATAATCACCTACTTGTTTTTTAGAGGCAAATATTAATTCTGCTCCCTTAATGAAACCATTTTCATTGCAAGCATGTATCTAAAATAAGAATCTGTTGATCACACCCAGGTTCTGAACCCTATTTGTGCTACAAAAACCGTACCTTCTACCATCTACTTTAGTAGCTTTAACACATTTAACATTTTTATCCTGCCACGAGCGCCCAACTGTTCCATTTTGGAATATCCAAGTTTCATCCAGAAATACAAGTGATTCATATATTCCCTCTTCCTTGTTCCTCATATACTCCCTTAGAAATTGTACGCTTTTTGAGGCAATATCCGGCATTTCCATGAGACCTTTTTTTGGATCATCTTTTCTCCAATTAAAACCAATTTCATGTAGCAATCTTCGTAAAGATGCCAAACTACCACCAAAAAATTCGTTTGCTTTAAGTCTTTCTCCCAGTGTCTACAGATTCACATGATTTCCTACACTCAGCACTTTATGTAGGCATTCATAAAAACAAATACTCATTGATACTTACGATTTTTATACATATCATAAATTTCGTTACGGATAGCACTAACATTTAACAATGATGTATCAGTCACTGTTTTCTTTCTTCTACGATTTTTTGTAGGAGAATTTAACCTCACATTGCCTTTCATTGCCGCTGACACCTTAATTACAGTAGGCAAACTCAAGTTTAGTGCATTCGCTACACGCTAAAACAGATAATACCTTATGATACTCCTTTCTAAAGTAGTAAGATGCAATTTACCTCTCTAACTGATTTCAATGGTAATAAGAGTCCATCATTTTCCAATTCCTTTTCAAAATAATTGATAAGAGATGCTACAAGCTCTTTACACCGGCTGTTTAAGAATTTCGGCATTATCCCAACAATATCAACACCGACAAGAACAGAGTTTCACCGCAAAAGTTGAATAACAGAGAAATCGAAAGTTAACACAATATCTGCTGCCAAGTTAACCTGGAAATATCATGTTTCCTGTATTGTGGTATTTTTAACCTCATAGGTGAACGTCAAAATGAAGATATGATATTATTTACGACATGCCGTAAACTTGCGAATTCGACAAAATAAGCCTGTGCATAAGCGGCAACCATGTAGAAATATTTGTAGTCCATTGATTCCCAAAGTGGTCTATATCGACCCCTAGGGGTCTATGACTACCTGCAAGGGGTCTACGTCAGCGAAAAAAAATTTAAAGGTCCATGAAATGAATATGGGGGTCCACGATCGTGGATCTCAACACATACACTGATAGTACCTATTTACTTACATCATACTATCTTATAATATCAAAACATATACATTATTTATAAAAGTACCTATGAAGTAAAAAATGTATTATATATGTTTATAAAACTGTGTAAGTTGTAGGATGTAGGTATTCGCTTTGTGGTCGCAATACATTTTGAACTTGTAAAAACCTGAGAGTCGCAGTCTCAGAGCTTCGCTACCTTACACTGATTTGTTCAATTCGTCACTCTATAAATACGAATGTGCGACAAATACGTTTATTCGTTTCCTGAATCTTGAAAAGGAAAGTGCTAAGAAAATATTTAAAAAAATATAGCCAGATAGTATATCACACAAATTATAGTGAGTCAGTGTTATTTTGTTTGAGAGTGCTGGAGAAAAGTGAGTACATTATTTTTTATTAAATTTTAGTTTTGTACTCGTAGTTAGCAAAGATAGATAAATTACGCCAATCATGACTTTAGTTATTAGTAGTTAAATATTTAATCATGCAAAATTACACGAGTACTCCTCAATAGTTTATTTTTGAAAGTTTTAGCAATCGGTAATATAATTACAATGCAATCTCCGTAATTAGAACTAATTCTTGCAAGAAGATGTTCGAATTATGGAATGTTTTCGGAAAAATTAAAAAAATATTTTTAATGTACAGCTGCTAGATTTTCTGTCTTATTTAAATAATTTAATTTTGCCCACAGATGACTGATGCCATGTCCGAATCTAAAAAGAAATGTGTTGTACAGTGTTGATTATTTGAAATTTGGCTTCATTCCATCATTGCCGGACAAACAATCGCCTATGTGCCTTTTATGCAACAAAGTTTTGGGCAATGACGCTATGAAACCATCTAAACTACAAGATCATCTGAGAAGATGCCACCCTGATAAAACAGAGAAAGATTTGAAATACTTTCAAACAAAGATAAATTTCAGAAGAGACCTACACTGGACAGAATGTTCGCTTCGACGTCACAAAGAAATGATGATGGTTTGCGGGCGTCTTACAATATCTCGTTACTTATAGCAAAATCCGGAAAACCGCATACTATCGGAGATAAGTTAATTTTGCCAGCCGTTGAAGAGGTTTTAAAAACTGTTTTACACAAACCTGCATCTGATATCATTAAAAGAATCCCTTAAGCAACAATACTGTTGAAAGACGTATTGATGAAATGAGTTCTGATATTGACAGCTTCTTATGTAATTATTTGCAAACGACCCATTTCTCTATACAACTGGACGAGTCAACTTTACCTGATAATCCAGCATTATTATTGGCATATGTTCGTTTTATTATGAATCAAGAAATCTACGAAGAACTGCTCTTCGCAAGAACTTTGATAACCGACACTAAAGGTGAATCAATATTTCATGTTTTGAAGGATTACATCATTGAAAAAGCAATTCCTTTATCAAATAATAATATCAGTAGCTACAGATGGAGCACCTGCCATGGTTGGACGTTATCGTGGATTTATAAGCTATTTAAAACAAAATGTGTCAGGGGTGTTAGCAATACATTGCGTCATCCATCGACAACATTTAGTTGCTAGAAATTTGAGTGTTAGATTGCATGAATCACTTCATTTAGTCGTTGATGCAGTGAACCGAATCCGAAGCAACGCGTTGAATACGCGGTTGTTTGCGCAGTTGTGTGAAGAAAATGACGAACACTTTCATCAATTACTCCTTCACACTGAAGTACGCTGGCTGTCGAAATGCTTATGGTTGACAAGATTTTTTGTACTTTTTGAGACTATTTTAGAATTTCTGGATATTAAAGATAAAATTTTAAAAGAAAATTTAATGAAAAGGAAAACAGACATCGTAACAGATTTGTTTACAAAATTTAATATGGTTAATTTGCAATTACAAGGCGACAGTTTAAATTTGATTATAAAACAAAGTCCATCTTATCAGCGTTTCTTGCCAGAGTTAAACTAATGAAGCAAAATATTTGACGGAGCGAATTTTCTCAGTTCTCCAATTTGTCACAGACAAGCTGCCAGGAAGACGAGGTTTCAACTTACCTTGAACATTTAAATGCCCTCTATTCAGATTTTGAATCTTGGTTTGAGGATATTTTGACTATGGTAATGCCACCGTGGATAGTTAATACATATGGTGACATAGAAGAAACGAATGTCATAATACAAGAGGAACTGACTGAACTAAAAACTAAAAACGGATATCAGCAATTCTGGCTGCAAAACAACATACCGGTTACTTATCCCGTATTATGGAATATAGCGAGGAAATTTTTAATTTCCTTTCCATCGTCATACCTAGTGGAAATGGGGTTCAGCGCTGTTACCAATCTCCTAACGAAAAACAGAAACAGACTGGACATCATTAGCCGAGGAGGTTTAAGATTAACCCTTACAAAATTGACCCCAAATGTTGATAATTTATTATTAAAGCATCAGGTTCATCCTTCTCACTAAAAATATTGACTTATTGCTTATGTTATTTTATTTATAGTTTATTTTATGTTTATTGGTGTCTGACCAATAAATGCCCGCATTGGGAATAAGTGCCCGCATTGATTTTTTTAAAGAACCCCCCTTCATAGATTTTTTTTTAAAATTATTCTGAAAGTTCAAGGATAGGTACACACTAAAATTCGTTAATGTTTTGCCTATTTTTAGATAACTTAAACGTATAAGAAGCGGAATTTAATCAAACTAACAGTGAAATTATTGTAGAACATACGTTTATGTTATAATTAATAAACGAACTCGCTTATTGTACTATTTTAAGTAAAAAAACTTTTTTTTTTATTATTTTTCACTTTTTTTTTATTTCATCCCTCTTATTTTTTTTTTCAATGCGGGCATTTATTCCCAATGCGTGTACTTATTGGTCAGACACCTGTTTAATTTTACGTATATTTTACATAACAAATACAAAATTTTATTTTGAGTAGATTTAATTTAAATTCAATTAATAAATGTATAAATTAACATGTGTTTTTACTTTAAGTTTTTAACACTAAACTTCACTACAGTTAGAAATTTACAGGAAATCAATATCAGGTAAGTAGGGGTCTACCCAACACGAAAAAATATGGCAACGGGTCTACGACACAAAATAGTTTGGGGAACTCTGTTGTAGTCGGTGAGACATGCTAATATATCTTCTTCATTTTCTAGCACATTAAATTGATATGACTTGCCATTTTACGTAAGTCGACCACCAATTGTGGCTTTTTGTGACGTGAATAAAAAAATATGTGATTTCTACTATATGTAAATCACGAAAACTATGTCACTAGTTTCCGTCGGCCTGTCCGGCTATCTGTCTGATGTCTGCTAAACCGCCTATAACTTGAAAATCAGTGCTCGGATTTGGATGAAACTTTCATAAACTATATACTACTATACGAGGGATGAAAAAGCTTGATAGTATTCGAAAATCGGTCCAGTCGCGGTGGAGACGCATACCAAAATGAAAAAATAAAAATCGCTCAAACTTTCAGAGGTTCCCGATCATGTACGGCAACTTTTTGATGGGGCTTGAAAATTGGGGATTAGGGGATGCAGGGAGTGAGTGAGAGTAGATCTGGTTTTTTGACATTGGTTTATTTATACCTACAACGATGATAAAACATAGACCTTGAAAGTTTATTTATGAAGCGTCCTCTGAATGTTGTCAAGATAGCAATGTCTATTTCTACGGCTGTGGATTGAAAACATAGCTTTACTTACCGATGGAATGACAAGTTAGCTGATTCTGGATTGTTGGTGTTTATTTTCCACACGTAACACGATCTCACTATTGTTTAATGAATAAAAGGTTAATCTCAGTAACGAAATTAGGGCAAAATGCACAAAAATAATGATTTTCAAAAATCACGAACCAAGCACGCCGGACGCTAATGTCATTCGGGTCAATCGTAAAAAAAAACGCGGCGTTTCCCAACATCGACTAATGGTTACTCTTTCCAATGCATTATCGTAAGTTCAATAAAAAAATAATTCACTTTACTCCAGTTTTTACTATTTATACAGATCTCCAAGAATGTAAATAATTCTATACTTTCATGAGTATAAATGACGTGAACAGCTGGTGGAACGGGTTGGGATATTTGTTTGTGGCTTGTCTACAACAGGAACCAACGATCAGCTGGCAGCATCGCTATTTCCCAATATTTATCAGTACCACAATTTTTATGGTAAACAGAAAGGTCTATATTTCTTCTATCGGCATTGATTCTTTTGATTCATACGCCTCCCACAGGAATTCCTCTCAGGGGGAGGGGGAGAGTGATTTAGTTCCTTGTTATACATGTTCGTAGCTATTTTGTCCTAAACATAATTCTCTACGAGGTGATGACACCATTGCGTGGGGAGTACATAGTCAGCTTATGGACGTTATTTTTTTAAATTCTTCGTATTTTAGTATGTATAACACCCTATATATCTTGTATTCCAATCCATGACTATTTCGTAGAAAACTGAACAAGTCGCATGAATGAAAGCAATAACTAATGTTATGCATTTCATTTAGTTTTCAGTTATATGGCCAAAATAACAGAGTGTCTTTTATGGTTTCATGCTACCAACCGATTTTATACAACAACATGCGATCTGCTTGAAACAACTCAAAATTGAGTTAGAAATGCACCTATCTCTTCATTATACACTAAATCTAATATAGGGGTTTGGTTAGGTCCCGTTAAAAGTAAGATGAAAAAATGCTGAGTCGGAACCTGTATACTGTTTTTCAACATTTTCACCAACGAGTTAGTCTGGAAGGTCTAATTCAGTAAATTTGCATATTAAATATGGTTTGCCTTTTAAGCAAAGTTGATGTTGTCATTGAAAACATACCGGTAAAATAGGGTGCATATTATTTATTTTGTCTTTTGTTTATACAACTAATTGTTCTTTCTTTTGCGAAATAATATATTCAGAGCATTAGTTACAGAATATTGCACATAATATCATGCAAAGAAAGGTAATTGGGCACAATCCTAATAGTTTATTGCACATTGCGTGCACAAACAAAATTTGTGTAAAACTATTTTCAATTAGATCCCATTATTTATTTTGAGTAGATATTTTCTTGAAAAATCGTGTCACTAAAATTAAAGTTAGGGGACAGAATGTATTGTTAACTATTAGCATATCACTATATGCTGCAACAAGGGACTCATTCAAAGCATTTAATATTATACAGGGTATTTCGCCTTTTCGGGGTACTAAGGTTTCATTATTTATTTAAAGTAATACATAATAGATATGCTACTCATATATAACTATTGTTCAGAGATTAGCTAACCTTCTGAAAAAGCAATAGACAGTTAAAATGTATCATTTTCAGAAGACAAAAGTTCAAAACATTTCACACAGGGGTCCTATCATAGAGCGGTGATCCAAATCTAGTCTGTTGATAAAGTATGCTGCTGAACTAAGGCTTACCAAATGACTTGACACCTGCCTCAAAAGATTCCTTCGAAACATATTTACATCACAGGATATTCGACGGCTGAGTCGAATATCCATCCAATGCCTTATAATTTATTCCATATTCGTACAGTGCTTTATAAAATAAGAATAATAGAACGTGTTATATGATTCCGATAATATCGGTTGCCCCGACTATTTTATCCATGCTCGATGCTGTCTGAGTAATCGATGCCTTTTCACTAACGGACAGTTTCGAGAATTTCCGCGCCGGTCGGCTATTTAGCTCTCTTCTACCGCTACGCCATCGGACTTTGCTCCTCAGAGCTCTCTTCCATGATACCGCCGCGCGATGTGCCGACCAGGCAGTCCCGCTTGACTTTGGCCTCCGAACCCAACCGTGTCGAACTTCGTACATCCAGAACTGGCGGACACGACCGCTCCTTTGTCGCTAGGCTATAGATATTTTTTTTATATCGAAGCAGTCGCGCAGGCAGAAGCCTAAATGCCGGAACACCTCGACTGCTATGATGATCCCAAAGAAGTTTTGTTAATACGATTTTTGAACTGCCTAAGGTTAGCAGAACTGGGAAAAGCTTCCTCTTGTAGATTGTTCTACAATCTCGACACCCTCGGGACAAAGAAGCGGTCGTATCGGCCAGTTCTGGATGTACGAAGTTTGACACGGTTAGGGTGGGACGCCAAAGTCAGGCGGGTCTGTGCGGCAGGCATATCGCGCGGTGGAATCATGGAAGAGAGCTCTTAGGAGCAAAGCCCGTTGGTGTAGCGGTATAAAAGAGCTAGATCGCCGACGGTCCGCCGGTGCAAAGGAGTCCCGAGACTGTCTGTTAGAGAAGAGTAATGGATCAGTCG